ATTTAATAATAATATCAATATTTTTTTTTTCAAAATCTTATTATAAAACCATATTATATCAATAAAAACAAAGAATAAAACAAAATATTCAAATCAAAATATATATCTTGATGTATTGTACAAATATCCTTCTAATTATAATAAACTAGTTTACATATTTAAAATTAACGAGATTAAGGGGTTGTTTGTTTACCTCTTAATAGTTCCATTAAGAGGAAGTATCTGAATCGTTAAGAGGTGAATCTTGTTTGACAAGAAAAAAGTCTGCCTCTTAATGGTTCTAAAATCCTCTGAATGATTTTGTATCTTGGATCTCCCTTAACTATTAAGAGTCCTAATTTCATTATATACAAGTACCAAACAATTATATTTTATTTTGCACTATATCATGAGAGTCTCTTAATCATTCTGACCACTTAATCATTCTGTATCAAACCATTCAACAATAGCCAAACAACCCTAAGGGGTTGTTTGTTTACCTCTTAATAGTTCCATTAAGAGGCAGTCTCTGAATCGTTAAAAGGTGAATCTTGTTTGACAAAAAAAGAGTCTACCTCTTAATGATTCAAAAATCCTTTAAATAATTTTGCATCATAGACCTTCCTTAACCATTCAACACCCTAATTTATTGTTAACAATTACCAGACAATTATATTTTATTTTCTACTTAATCATTCAAGTCACTTGATCATTTTAACCACTTGATCATTTTGTATTAAATCATTTAACAACTATCATACGATGCCAGCCTTGAAAAACGTTTTTTTTTAATGATATAAATGTGATAAAAACTAGAATTTGAGTCGAAAAGGGAAGACAATAAAATTATTCCTTTCTTATATCATCAATCAAGATTCAAGAAGCATCAAGAACAGGCATACGCACAGACACTCTCGGTCTCTTTCTTTCTCACATATATTATCACAGAAAGTTCTAATCGTGTTCCCTTCGTCTTTTTTCAGCAATCTCTTCCATACTCAACCTGCACGCAAAGTTTTGATTTCAGTAGCCACCCTCACACACCTTCAAGAAATTCAAGGTCTTTCTTTCTTTTCAACTGGGTTCATTCTTAATCACATTTCCCAGATCGAATTCATCATTAATTTTCTGTTCCCCAAGTTGGATTGTTCATCGATTCTCATGGGTACAACGAATTTGCTTTCTTTTTGCTATTTTCTTGATTTCAGGATGATAAGGGCATTGAATTACTACTTCTTTCAAGAACGTGTTTTCTTGTATTGTGGTATGCCGTCGTATCAGGTGGAAATCAAAATTAGGGTTTTGCAATAAATTCGAGAGGATAATCGATAAAATGGGGAATAAATTGGGTCGAAAGAGACAGCTGGTGGACGAGAAGTATACAAGGCCTCAAGGGCTGTACCAGCACATGGATGTAGATCATAAAAAACTTCGTAAGCTTATACTCGATTCTAAGCTCGCTCCTTGTTATCCTGGTGAAGATGATGACTCTATCTGCGATCTTGAAGAATGCCCAATTTGCTTCTTGGTCTGTTTTCTTGAATTGAAATGTTACAGTTCTTGATATATTTAGTTGGTTTCTTGAACTATCATGTTGCAATTGAAATGATTATGTATATATTTCTATTTGTTGATAGTATTATCCAAGTCTGAATCGTTCAACATGCTGCATGAAAGGCATCTGTACAGGTACAAATGATGTGCTTAATCTTGTTTAATCGGGTCTGTTTCCGAACAATCCGATTATGTTCAAATGTTTCTTTCTTCTGTTGCAGAGTGTTTTCTGCAGATGAAGACACCCAACTCAGCACGCCCGACACAGTATCCTTTTCGGTCTTTAACCAAGATTATATGTTTTGATCATCAAGTTTACGGTTTTCCCTATTGAGTTTGATTGTTTTTTAGCTTCTATGCTCGATGATTTTGATCCTTGACAATATTTAAGGTGCCCATTTTGTAAAACCTTTAACTATGCTGTGGAGTATAGAGGGGTGAAGACTAAGGAGGAAATGGGGTTGGAGCAAATTGTAAGCACTAAACGAAAAAATCTTGCTTTATCGATCTTTTAATTGGGTTTCTCTTCGATTGTGTAATATATGATTACATTCAGGAAGAACAACGGGTGATAGCTGCAAAAATAAGAATGAGACGGCGAGAAATTCAAGATGACGAGGAAAGGATGCTAAGAAGGCAAGAGATGAGCTCTTCAAGCAGCATAATTGATCCAAATGAGGTTGGAAATATCTCAGTAATAGGTACGGGCACAATCATGAACATAACTAGTTTTTGGGTATTGTCTTTGGATATCATACACCCGTTCTTGCTTTTGTTTTTCAGTTTTTCGTTACTACCTATTTATCTGCAGTGCCGTGTTCTTCCGAAGGTGAGGAAATCGTTTCTACTCAGCAGCTAGGTGGTTCGGCAATCACCCATCCTTCAGGCTCTACGCAAAACAGGTATAATTTCATCGAGTTGGGTGAAATATAGTAGAACTTCAACACCCAAGAACAACTGTAAATTTGTCTTTCATTAGCTACAAAACTTTCCCATAAGAACACGATCAAAAGGATCAAAACCTTCTAATTTTTCCTCAAATATACTCTATGAACGAATCAAACCGAATTGACCAGGTAAATCCCACTAGAAAGTAAAGTCTTGTGTGGGGTGGGGTGGGGTGGGATGCAAGCAGACCTGACCTCTGCCATAGACTAGAGCGGTTGTTTCTGTAAAGACCCTTGGCTCGTACAAGAGTGTGAGCAAACATGTAGAAGGAACAAGGACTAGCTACCGTGGGGTCAACTTAATTGACAAATAAAGGCTAGACAATAGTGCTCCTCTCCATAGGTTTTGCGTCTCCTCTGTGCCACTTGGGATCTTTCTGACTGTTATCTTCAGGGCTCCATGGGATTAGTTGAGGTACATGTAAGCTGACCCGAACATAGACACCCATAGTTACCAAAAAGAAACGGACCTTTTGTGATACCTAACCTCCTCTCAAACCTTTTGATTTGGACAAATTCTTGTAGAAGAACTCCGATTTTGCTTTGGGTCGAAGGTTTTTGGTTGAAAGTACTAATTAACATTTAATGGTAGGTTCTGAAACACATAATCGGGGCACATCGATGATAAATGGCATGGATTTTTCTTTTCTATTCAAGTTCCCAAAGAATCCATTAAAAATCTTCGGTGGTCGTTAATGTTGTTTCCTACGTATCTTGTTGGAAATGCAGAGATGATGAATTTGATCTCGAGAACATAATGCTTATGGAAGCCATCTGGCTCTCGTTTCAGGTACGTACGTCCGAGTTGATATTAATAATGATCAAGGGTTGATCAAATTTATTAAAAAATTTTAAATCAATCTGTTATTTGCTTATTTTGTATATTTCTGTTGATTAGGAGGATGACAAGCGCCACCGTAGCTACGGTGACGCTACTCAATTAGCAAAGTACGCAGCTGAACATCGTATTTCAGCAGCCATGTCCCCACGGGCCGAATCGACCTCGTCCTCATCACCTTCTGGTGGTCTGGCATGTACAATAGCAAGACAGCAAGTAGGAGGAGAATCGTCAAGTAACAGCAGGTTTTCGGGAAGGGAAGAGGGATCGGAGATGGTAGAAAGCGGTGGCTATGATGATTGGAGTACAGTAGATGATGGCGGTGGTCGAACCACCGGAGCATATCCCCTACACGATGACATGGCAATGGAGATGGAGAGTTTTGAAGAGCAGATGATGGTGGCCATGGCGGTTTCACTTTCGGAGGCTCGTGCTCGGACCGCTTCCCCCGAGATCGAATGGCGTTAATTAATGCATCTTTTTTCTTTCATATGTGAAACAGAAAGATAGATTTGAGTGAATGTAAAGAGCTGGTTGTTTGTTGTTAATGGAGTCGGTAGATGAACAATGTTGCCCTTTTTGGGTTTAATTTGATCAAATATATTTAACAGGTTTTGTACAAAATTTCATCATCAATCGTCTTGAAACATGCATTTTGGATATGGGAATTTGAGCATCAATCATCTTGAAACATGTATTTCCGCACTGCATTGCCAGAGGTTGCCGGATCTGGCAATCTTCAGCATGGAAGGTATCTTCACATGTGAATGAAAATTTGTTAGTTCTATTAATCATCTGAATACAAGTAGTGATAGCCAAAAACCGGTTCTGGGTCGGGCCTAATCGGTCCCAAGCTTTCTCATAACCGGTTATAACCGGTCCTGGCGTAACTGGTCGAAAATGGTAGGACCGGTCAAGGTACTTCGTAACCGGTTATGGGCCGCCGGTCCTGGCATTAAAAAATAAGATTTTTTTTATAATTTTTGTAATGATATATATTTTTAATACATTATAAAATTTACAATTGGGTTACTCAAATACACTTTAAAAATACGTTTTAACATAATTAAAATTACATTGGCTTATAAAAATACATTATAAAATTATTTGAAAATACATTTATTTATAAAATTATTTGAATTTTTGGGCCGGGCCGGTCCATAGCCGGTCCCGGTCCGGTCCCATGAAACTACCAAAAACCCCAACCGGTCCCGGTTTTCGGTCCTATAATCGGTCCTTACCGGTCTCGGTCCCGGGCCGGTCCTTTGCCGACCCCGGTCCCGGTCCTCCGACGGTCCCGGGCCGGGCCGGGCCGGGCCGGGCCGATCTAGCCATCACTAAATACAAGTTACTATTTTATTGAAAACATATTTATTTTTTTTATTTTTTTCATTAAAATAATGATATGATTGATGGATAGGAGATATGAAACTAGAAGACAGTGACTTATGTGAGTTAGCTAAAAATACACACTGTTTGGGCCTGGTTAAAGCCCATCAGTTTTGAAATGGGCTAATATTTTCTGAGTTATGGGTTTTAAGGCCCGATTATACTGAAAGTTAATTTGTTGTTACTGCAATAGTATATAATGATAAATATTTAGGGGTTAGTTTAACTAACAATAAGAATTGAGCACTTGTGGATCCTCTTCAGAGGTTATTGGTTAAAATTCTGCAGGTTACTGGGAATTTTCCTGACTGTTTTTCAGGTACCTGAGATTAGTTGAGGTGTGCTGAAACTGACCCGAACATTCATGGTTAATAAAAAAATTCATAATGACAAATGTAGTCGAATACAAAATCTTCACCTCTCTTTTAGGGTGCGTTTGGTATGCGAAATATTACAATACGAAAGCTTGTTTTTTCCATAAATTGTGTGACGATAAATTAAGTCCGAACATGACTTGATTTTTAGTCCCATTAAAATATATGGAGTTGTTTACTAAACGTTTATTAGGGGAAGACAACGATCAAGAATTTTACCTGGTAAGTGAGGACGACGACTCTTACCCAGTTAGTGGTTATTGGTTAAATTTTTAAATACGATGCCGTTATAATAGACTAAAATCTTACCTGGTAAGGTAAGTGATAATGTTGAATTTAGCTTGTAAACACTTACCGGGTATATGTGGGTAAACGGCCCCTAATTGTTTTGGTTTTTTTCCCTTTTTTTGAATTGGAAACTAGGTTTAAGACATCGACCCCCTTAACCAAACAATCTAGCATTTTTCGGGCTCTAATTGGTTCCTACTTTTGAAATATATGCTCGTCAGAAAACTGAAGGACCTTGATCGGACCTAAGGAAGGGGGAATGATCCTTTTGTAACTAGGCATGGGAATGGGATCCGACCTATCGGGCAACCCGATCCATCCGTCCCTGCTAAATCGAGGATGGGGACGGGGATTCTCGTTTGTCTCAAACCGGGAACGGGTATCGTACTCTGAGTCCCGTCCCGTACCCGTTATATATATATGTATTATTTATTTTAACTAAAGCGGTAATTCATAATTTCATATTTCCGAACTAGGTTTATAATCTAAAATTATTATTTTTTGAATGTTAATATGTATATTTTGGATGACAAATCAAAATACAATTACTTGATAAGTTTTTGTATATCACTGGATATGGTTTTATATTACTCAATATCTTTTGATATATGTGACTTTAAGTTTTTTGGATTAATTTTTTTTTTGTTTTAGGTTGTTAATTCTTATATGATGTTGTGGTTTTTTTTGTATTAAATTGGATTCATTTTGGTTTTAGACTTATTGAAATTGTTTGAGATTTAAACATATGTATGGTCTCTCATATATTTAATTTAAAATAACTTACATAAACAGGAAAAAAAATCTCCGTTTCCCCGTTGGGGATGGGGATATGATTATATTCCCTGGCGGGGATAGGGACGGGGACGGAGATTGAGATAAGTAATCAGGGACGAAGATTGAGATAAGGTCCCGTTTGATTTGAATGAATGTAATTGATTTGGGGCGATTTGTATTTCAAATCCATTTCAATTCCATGTTTGTTTTGTTGGATTGTCTAGATTTGAAATCCTAGGATTTAATTGAAATCCTTCAAATATAGGATTTTGAAATTCTTAGGGAGTGCTCGAGATTTCACAGGATTTCATAGGATTGTATGCAATAAGGTTATAAAAAATGTTATAAAAACATTTGTTTTGTAAAATCGATTAATAAAAATGTAATTCAATTATTTTTATAATTATTTTTAATTTTTTCTATAAATTATTTATAAATAATGAAATTCAATTCTATTCCAAATCCTACAAATCAAATACACCAAATGATTTCAAATCTATTCCAATCCAAATCCTCCAAATCCAAATATCTCCATGAAATCCAAATCCCTCAAAATAATCCTGCAAACCAAATGGACCCTAAGGGTTTTTAACATTTTTGTTCCGAATTTCATTGAATTACATATTTATTAATTGATTATTACAAAACAAATGTTTTTAACATTTTTTAAAACCCTATTGCATGCAATCGTACAAAAATCCCGTGAAATCTTGAGCACTCCCTGAGGATTTCAAAATCCTATCTTTGAAGGATATCAATTAAATTCTAGGATTTCAAATCCGGACAATCCAACAAATCAAACATGAGATTAGAAAATATATGAAATACAAATCCCCCTAAATCCATTCCATTTATTCAAACCAAACGGACTTTAAAGATAACTAAGATAGACTAAGGTGCCGTTTACCAAACGCTTACTAAGTCACTTTAATTTACCGGATTAATATGTCAAGGAATAAAAATCTTACCCGGTAAGAACGAAGACACAAATCGAAAGTCTTACCCCGTAAGTGAAGACGATCACTCTTACCATGGTTAATGCTTATCAGGATTAAATTGTTGCATACGATGCGTTTTATTGAATAAAATCTTACTCGGTAAGTACACGATAGTGTTGAATTTTACCGGTAAGTGTTTAGGTAAATGGCCCCTAAATGTATACCTACTATTTACTAACATCTACTTATTCAAAACTTTTTTTTTTATATTTTCAATATATGATTTAAGGATTCACTAGAAGAGTATTCGCGCAATGCAGCGAGACATATCTCGATTTTAATGTTCTATTTTATTATTTGTCTCTGTCGATGTTATAATACGATTTTATGTGTTTTTAAGAAAACAATAATGATTTTATTTTTGAATAAATTATAAATTTGAATAAAAATATCAATGTTAATATTAAATCAACTATTTAAAAGTTCTATTTTTTATGTA